AAACAAATCAAATCAAGGCTCAAGATGAACTGTGGGATAGTGGGAACAGAGTCATGAGACACTGAAACATTTGCAAATATTATAGTTTCAATTATTGTATATAGGTAATGAATTGTTCTGCAGAAGTTGGTTTTCAAATACAAAAAGATACAAGTATATCATCATTGCAATAAACAACTATTGCCTTGTGCATACTTTTAGCTCATAGCGTGCTCAAGAAATAGCTTTAGTGAATGCAAAAGTTTAAGTAGAGGATGAGCCAAGAAGTAGTAATCAAAGACGTCTCTTTCTTTCTTTTAACCGCACCCTGCACAGCCGTTTCTGCAGGCCACTCTTACACATCCACTCTTGGCAAAGTGGAGTTGTAGAATAGATGCATTCTTATCAGTGAGTCTGAAGCTGCCATGGCTGAGACACTTGTAGGGACGCCTCTGTATAGTGTCTGGTGCTGGTGCCAGCAGGGTGGAAAAGACGAAGAGGACTAGTGGGGCTATCAGGCTCCCATTGTCTAACTCACTGCATACGAGTGCTCACGGTTTTCTGGGTCAGAGGCCTGTGTGATTGTTTGTCCCTGCATTAAAAAAAAACCTTACAGACTGAATACTTTTGAAGCATGCACTCACTTTGGTCGTTTACCCCTTTCCTCTCATACGATCCAAGGGTGTCTCATTAAATAGCAGTCCTAGGGTATAAAAACATAATCTCAGACTCAGAAAAGGTGCATATTTAAACAAACAAAATTGTCTTATAAAGGACCTATACTGTGTCTAACAGGGTGTAAGTGAAGGTGTGAAGGAAGTGTGTTAACTGCTGAGCATGACTCCACAGAAACAAGAGTCATTAGTGAGCAGCAGATGGTCAATAGCAATGGACCTAGTCTTTCTTTCAGGTCACAGGAGAGTTGGTGGGTGGAAGGAGTTTTGCAGGGGGCATTTAGCTTCAGATGGTGTTGTGGGAGGTGCTTTAAACATGTTTATGTACTGTATATGTGTGTGTTTAGGAAGAAGATAAAGGCCTTAAACACATGGCCACATGTGTCTTCCATTAGTTTTTTACTCTTTTGGCAGATGTGAACATCTGGGAACACATTACCCAGGTCTCACTTTTCCCTGGTGCTGTACAATGCACGACACAAACACACATATACTGTACATCACCTCTGCACAGCACACTGTCATGCGTGAAGCAGCCTGAAAACAGCAGAGCCTCAATTACATGTAGCTCAGCCAACTTACAGCAGTGCTGGGAGGGTGGGGCAATCATTTGTTCCAGAAAAGTCCCAGATCAAGTTGAATATTTTTAGTTTGGGGTGATGGGAGCGCTGAGCTGTTGGCCTGTTTGAGGGGAAGCCAGTTGCTGTTGTTTTCTGATGGCCTATTATACTGTACATGCTAAGTCAGTGTTTAGATAATGGATTCTGCAGTTTTTCTACTTAACAGACACTGTATCTGGAAACAGAGAACACTGACAAGCGTTCATTCATGAAAGGGAAGTTGAAGTAAAAAGCATCAAGTGATTTTCCCTGTCTGCGCGCGCGCGCGCACACACACACACACACACACATCTACATTACACAGATGGTTCAAAGTCCTTGACTCATTGCTAGTCGCTCTTTTTATGTCTAATCAGGAGTGAAGAAGGAGGGAGGGCGAGAGGAAGAAGGAGTCAATAGGTAATGGGCTTCCAAGTCTCCCACTCGTGGGAGCTCCCCGACTCCCTAAGCAAGTCCAGCGTTCAATCACATCTGCACAAACTGGCTCTTCATTAGGTCAAGGAACTCCACGCTGCAGCCTTGATGTTTTCAAAAGGAGATGAAATGGGTGTTGATGGTTGCGCGGGCGTAGGAAGCAATGAGCGGAGCTTGTTTTTGTGGTGTCAGCGTCCCCTTCATAATTAAGGTCTAAACATCCTCTGCTGCGTAGGTGTGCGCATGTGGGATTATGCACACACTGCTGCACTGGGGAACCCTTTAAGTTGTTTATATGTGTAGGGAGGAAAATACAGTACCGTGTTACATGTCCTTACAGTTCAAATGGAGCAGTAGGTAGTAGGTGTATACATATCCATGTGTTTCCCTTTGTTATCGTGTCCCTAGTAGACAGGTGCAAACATTTCTGCACCCACCGTGAAGTTCTCTCATGCTTTCAGAAAGAGTAGAGTACATAGAGAAAAAAACTGAGTGTGCAATATCAATCTAAAATGCTTCATAACCGTCTGAGGAAGAATCAGTTCATTTGACATGAACTGAAACTTTCTGATAACTACAGCCACTGTCATTTTATCACAGCAATCATTTACTAGACTGGTATGTCTGATTCTCCTACATATGCCATTAGTCTTGCTTCTAATCACACTGATGACTCTTGGGAAGATTTGAGAAATAGAAGGAAAATGACTTTCTCTGAGGGGAAATTGCTTCATTTGTAATGTAGAGTACAAAAAGGTTCGAGCTTTTGTTCTGTGTTGGAACCAAGCCAGCAGTTCCACTTGTACACACTACATTAGAAAAGTACAAAAGATGTCTGAATGCTGTCTCATGTTACCGTTTTGTGAGGCTTTGATTGGCTGACTCACCAACAAGTGTAGAGTTCATTTGACTGTGTGCAGGGTAGATTTTCACCCAATGATGAATTACATCTCCTCTGACAGAAAAAAAAAAGTTTTGAGCCACAGGTTTTAGACTGATGTCCATTTATACACACACATGTAGCTCACAGAGGAGCTACTACTATGAGTTCTGCTCGAGTGTTGAAACTAGGCAGTCTGGTGTTTGTGGAACCAAGACAAACCCCAGATTTGCAGATTAATGGGTCTGTTCTTTGCAACAGGTTTTCACAGGTGGAACCTGACAGCAAACAACTGGGACATTAAGGAAAACAGAAATGAGAAATAAACATTGAAGCAGAAGTGGTAATTCATAGTCATTTCCTGACATGCACACTGCTTGAAAATGTATCTCTACTAAAGCCTTTATCTTTCTCTTATCTGTCTGGCAGACTATGAACTCTCATCCACATAAAGCACAGTGTCAAAGGACATTACAATACGAGCAGTTTGACACACCCTGAAGCCTCACAGAAGAAATGGGGAATCCACAGTACCAAATACTGTAAATTAAAGAACCCACAATCCATAAATCTAAAAGTCTAACTGATCTTCACACTATTCAAGGCCTACGGGAGTGCTGGTTGGTGCCAGCATGAAAACGTTTATCTAAACATAATATCAAATGGTAATTACACACACAGCCACGCTGAACAAGCTGACTGCCCCCACCCCCCGGTACATTTTTGCTTTATATATGCATGTGTGTAATAATGTTGTCTCCCTCTCAAACTGATGCATTACACAAGCTGACTGCCCCCACCCCCCGGTACACTTTTGCTTTATATGTGCATGTGTGTAATAATGTTCTCTCCCTCTCAAACTGATGCATTACACTGAATAATTGTTAGACATGTGCGCCATCTATTGGAGCTTCTGTGATACTACAAGACAGATATGTTAGAACCCACTGGAAGATTTCTGATTGTATCTATCCAATGAAACTATGGAGTAAACATTCCACTGAAACGTATTCCTGCTATCCTTCACAGTCCATCCATCACCAAAGTGCAAAACAAAACAAACAAACCAAACGTTCAGAGTGCTAAAGCTCTCAAATATAAATATATTCACTGAATTAGCTCATGGAATTTATGTTTTAATCTCTAATCTACTTAAGTCGTTTCCTTCATTTATGTTCTTTGGGATTAAACAGCACAATTCAGATTATTCAGATATTCAGGGGGGTACAGTTCCTGGTTCTTTTATATTTTATTTTATTGTTGTTGAACTAAATTTGACAGCCAAAAGATGGCGGTAGGTCATCGGACATGAGTGTTAAAGAAGGCGCGCGTTCTTTCAGGAGTCTTATCTAAAGACATGAGAACCAGTTCTATAAGGAATGTTTACATTTCACCATGGAGAATATCGGCGTTCCCGGATAAAACTCATGTTCAACTATGTAAATCTGCATTTTATATTTTTCACGGAGCAAACGAAAGTTCCATTTACCAAAGAACACAGCAGGGGGCGCTGTTCCCCGTGCTTTAAGCTGACAGAATGAGCTGCTGAAGAGACAAGATAAACATCTTCCCTGTTTTAAATTAGAGACAAAACAATGTATTTGCTTTTAGATTAGACATTTTAAACTTGGTTCTGTTCTGCAAAATGTTTTTCAAAATGGATAAAAACGGAACGATTTACTGAGACCTCTTTCACCTCCACTAGTGTCTCCTGTGAAACAATAAGCTATAGCTCTTCCTTCACCCTCCTTTAATGCCGGCGTTGATCTAATTTACATTTAGGCTACATACACGCACGCACACAACAGGGACAGTAAAGCGGAATTTGCCCGCAGGCCATGTCAGTTGAACGACTCTTTTACCTATCACTTCCATCTCTTTCACATAAAGTTCACTGTCCGCCAGTACTTCATACATGACAACAGGAGCCTGTGGAGGCTGGCTGTCAACCTTTCAGTGGGCTGAATACAGTGTGATCTCAAGGCACTGTTAAGAAAACATTGCATAAAACATTATGGAGACTGTCTGGCTGCAGGATTTAGGCTTGGGAAAGGCTCTGGGCTGCCATGTGGTTTCATCTCGGTGCCACAGTGTGCAGCCCGTGGATGATGGTGTTGATAAGAAGAACTGGACTTATAGCTGGTTGTGGTTTTGGACAGACAGCGCCTAAGGTTTTACGGGGTTGCATGCAACAGGCAGAGAACAGGTAAATGCAAATCTAGAGAAAGGGGAAAAACCTCAGGGCAGAGGTATGCGTGCATAGGCGCTCATTGCTGAAGGCTGGGTTTCACCATGACTTCGCCTGGAGCGTAAGAGGGGGGAAAACAGTGGAACCAATAGGAAGATAGCATCCAGCCCAGCTCTCTATAACTCTGTGTCACAAGGCTGAGCGATGCCACAACCAGGTTTTCGCAACTCAGAGTTTCAGTGGACTACAGGCTCTCCATAGCGCTGCGTTCAAAGAGCGCGCGCACACACAGATACCCCAGTTCTTTATTACGATTTTGTTTTGTGCACTTCTCAACAAAAGAATCCACCAGTGGACTTGGTTTACTCGGGAGACCGGCTTTCACCATGAGCGCCGGCCAGACGTATGAGAAAAAGATTGCGAGTATTTTGACCGACCTTCCTGGATCTATGAGTTGCCACCCGAACTCCAAGGACTCTCCTACTCTACCAGAGTCTTCGGTGACGGACATGGGCTACTACAGCGGACAGACGGCCCACGGCCATCACGAATATTACCCGAGTCAGCCGTACGGACAGCCGATGAACTCTTACCACCAGTTTAATCTGAACGGAATGGGAGCTGCTGGAGCATACGCCACCAAATCTGAATACCCTTACACAAATACCTACAGACAGTACAGTTATTACAACAGAGATCACCTACAGGCCTCGCCTCCGAGCTCAGGTAAATGTTGAAATAATCCCCAGTTATTTTACTCTGATTGTGTTTATCTGCAGTGTGCATCATGTTCCCAACGCACTGAAGCCAGTTCACTTGTTCGGACCGAGTTCGAGCTTTGACCGTGTATTAAATCAGAGTTGCGGGTTTGCCAACGCAATTTATATCCTCTTTTTTTTATTTCATGTTTCCCTTAGGTTTTTTAGGATTTGTGTAATTAGTGGGAGATATTATATTTGCAGTAATGTGAAGCCAAATCGAGGTCTCAATTAATGTTATCTTAGCGGGCCACTGTAACTTTCCACTATATTTGATTTATTGTGTATTTTCAGCTTTTAAGAAAAGCTACCATTTGTTCAGCGGTGTGTTGTGCGGGCTGATGTTAATGTCACGCTTTTAACAGCGCCTTAGAACGAGTCGGCTATCAACAGACGGCAATAAAGCAGTTATGGCTTGATAAAAACTAATCAGTTTTTACATGTCACCGCTGGCTTGCCAGAATGGGAGTTTGGCAGAGTAAAATGACCCCGTTTGAGTGATTTTGATTTGTGGGAAACATGTTAAGCTGTCATGTTATATCGTTTTGGGCTTTAAAGCAACATTGCTACATTAAAATGATTTTCAAAATCTCATTTTTTAATTTAAAGTGAGAGAATTTCCAGGCGTCGACAGTTTGTAGTGACAGTTTCGCTTTTATTTCAGTAGGCTATTCTCAGTGTTTTTCAATTTGTGGCTACTCACTCTTTTACTAAATGGCCTGTTTTATTTATTTTGTCATTTTAGTGAAAGAAGAGCCAGAGCCCGAGGTGCGCATGGTGAACGGAAAACCGAAAAAGATCCGCAAACCGCGGACGATCTACTCCAGCTACCAGCTCGCTGCTCTGCAGAGACGCTTCCAGAAGGCGCAGTACCTCGCCCTTCCCGAGAGAGCGGAGCTGGCGGCTCAGCTCGGCCTCACTCAGACACAGGTAAGCCGTCTGACCCGGTACAACACACTTATGTTCCTAACACACTTATGTTCTGACGAACAGGGATTCCCAATATTTAATTTGTCCTGTAGCTATCCATCGATGCGTAATAACGCACGAAGGCACAGGGTTTCCATATTTTCTCCCAGTAAAATATTGCTAAACAGTTTTTGGTAAAGTTACATTCAAAGGAGCCTAATATTTAGGTAAAAACTTTACCAAATGTTTAATTTTTTGCTTATATATTCCATTACAATTGTTTACCCCCTTTTTCAGGTCAAGATCTGGTTCCAGAACCGGAGGTCCAAGTTTAAGAAGCTGTACAAAAACGGCGAGGTTCCACTGGAGCACAGCCCCAACGCCAGCGACTCCATGGCCTGCAACTCCCCGCCCTCCCCCGCAGTCTGGGAGAACAGCACCCCCCAGAACACCACGATCAGCAGACCTCAGGTCCCGCAGCCCACGCACAGCTCGTCACCGCCATACCTGGAGGATTATAACAACCACTGGTACCAACAGGGATCACACCTACAGCATGCCAGCACCGTGCACCACCCAGTCCCGCAGCAAAGCGTGGGAGCTGTTTATTAACAATAACCTAAGAGCAGATTTATCTTCACTTTTCCCCACAAAGAGGTCTCTCCACAATGACTCTGCAGAGCAAAGGCTGACTGGACCTGGAGCAGGCCTGTTGTGAAACACTTGATTTCTGGATGACCAAGAGTGTTTCAGGACTGGGTTTACCATTCACAGAGCACATAAGGGATTCCTGATCACTTGTGGCAGCATATTTAACGGACGTCTGGCGTGTTTTTTAAATTATTTATCGCTTCTCTTGTATTTCCTTCTTTTATAAACGAATATGCAATTTTTTAAACAAGTAGCCTGACCACGAAACGAAAATTGACAAAATTGCAGCTGACCCGTGCTACATTCAAATAATGCATGAGGGTGTGTAGAGAGAGCGCAAAAAAGAAACTCAGGTCATATTTATATGGATGTGTACAAAATATCGAAGGCTGTAAATATGTGTTTATATGCAGAACCACTATGATCATATTTGTTTAAAACGGAACGACTGCACTGTGGTGCTTCCAAAACCATTTTATATTCATGTAAAAAGTCAATTTGATGCATTTTTGTCAACTGAATAAAGCTGTTAATCGCATGTTGTGTCTTGTAGTTCAGACGCTTTGTGACATTTAGGACAAACCGTGCAGATAATTAAATGTAGGGTCACCTTGAACTACAATATTCTAAACGGGGCAGGAAATGCGTTGAGGCCACGTGCTGAGAGTTTGCATGTGCACATTTACAATTCTAATGTAATTATAATTCACGCATCTTTAGAGCTTGATAATTACCCATGCACCTGGATAACAAGTCTTGTGCCATGAAGCAGTGGATTATACTGAGTGTATCATCCCTGCCTATTGAGCTAGGCCTTTACGTGCTAGTTGAGTCATTATTTAATTTTAAACGTGTCTAACTGGAAACCAAAAAGTTATATCTGAGAACCACAGAACAATAACCTGCTGTAATCGATTTTTTTTAAATAATCTATAGAAGTATAGACTGTAGTGGGCACAGTATGTACACGAGTCCGCCTGTTTTGTTTCCGGGAGCTACGTGCACATTGCTGCAGTAGGAGGCGGCCCACATGCAGACATGTTGGAGACAACTTGGTTTTATTACTATCCATGTTGCCAGATAACAAGAGAGAATACAGCACGTTTGCAGGGAGAGAAAGAAGAGAAGGTGGTGGGTGGAGTTGTGCAGGGGTGTAACTGTTGCCGAAGGGGATCTCGCGCGCGCACATGCACGCTGCCACAGCAGGATGCATAGAAACGCTTCAAAATACTGAAAGCATAAGGAAACATACCCCTCCCCCCCTTTTGACCGTTTCACTTTAGACACCGATTCTTTCTATTGCGTTTGACAAACCTTTTCTAAAAATGATCCAAGACTCCAAAATAAGCAGGTTTTCACTTGAGATCACCGATCATTCATCTGATGATGACGCACGTTTTTCACAGAGGATTTACGCACTTGTTCTATGGGAAAACGTACACCGTTTTATATGTTATGGCAACAGATTTGGCCAGGTGATACAAGCGCTTCATGAGCGACTGTGGCACAAGGGAAACCTGCGGAACACACTTACATTAAGACGCTGATCATGACTATTATGACAGCGACAGTGAACCTCACACAAACTAAATCTTCTAAACTAATGACAGTGGACAATCAGCTCACTTTGGCCACGTCAACAGGGCATTACTAAATTATCTGCGCAGAAATGTCTATGGTGGAGAACCCGCTAATGGCGATCTTACCCACATGGACCACCAAGGCACCATGACACACCGAAAGAAAATGTTCTCACGGCGTTACAGGTTGGATCTACTTTTCCACGCCTTTAAGAATGGTGTCCCCTTAGGACTGAAGGCGTTACTGAGTGAACACCTTGTGCCATAACAGTCAGTTCAGAACAGTGCACTTCTGTACTCAGTCTCACGGTGCGTCCTAAAACTGGATCACACTCAGTTTGGAATTTTTAGCATCAAGAGAAAACATGTTACTATTAAACTACACTACTGTCTCTAAATGATACATTATTTAGTACATTTCTGAATAGATTCATTCACATTAGAATCAAATACGATTTACAATATATAGAATGAAAAATATATTTGATATAATTCAGTCAAACAACCAGATTTTTGTAGATTTATTTTATTCTTTAAATACACTAATACTGTTGACCAATACACCTTTTAGGGATCTTAAGGTATTTTCTGAGAACCATAGCAATTTGCATCATTTACATATTAATTATATTATGTTCAAATTATTAAATGTAGTTTTGAGCCCAATTCAAATGGGCTTTTGTTTCAGTCTGTTATTAAAAACAACAAACATGTTGTGCCACAGAATTTCTTTGCACCAGTCCTCACGTTACCAAACTATGAGGACATCTGATCTCAAACTAATATATTTCACTTACCATAAAATATGATAGCTTTTGGTTTCTTTGACACCTGTGACAAACACACACACTCATCTCGGCACAAAAACATCAAACGCTCCTAATCCTATTCTATGGTTTATTTCCCTGAACTCAACACCAGCTGTCTATAGCGTCACTCATCAGGTCAGTGCATTGTGCTGATTTGACAAAAGCAGCATTATTACTATTGCCTTTTAATATCAATGAAATCTCATCAAGGGTCCATGTGACCTCCCCTCAGTGACTCCCTCAGCATGTGTGGCCTTCAGCTCTGTCAGAGGAAACATTTGTGCTGAAGACAAACGTGTGTTCGCTACAGGCTTCACTTTGGTGTGTGGGCTGTCAGAAATGTCCGTATATGTCATCTCTAAACATTAACAAGTGTAAGTAGCCGTGGAGCTGGAGGTGAACTGTTGAACTTGAATGTGATCTCGGCATGGCACAACATCACAGCACCCTACATAGAGCTGGTGCCCGGACCCCTGTGAGCTTTTGCCCCCCTCCCTCTGCAACAGTCAACAGTGTGGTGTCAGCACTTGTCTCTGGGGTGCAGCGATATGGGTTGAGGTGGAGGTCGAGAGCTGAAATGCATCCATGGAAAGACTTGCAGCAGCTGTCCAATGCTCGGTGTGGGCCTTGGCCGGACCTCGGCCGGGCCTTGGCTGCATTAGGATCACTCACTCTCTCCATTTTGCTGTAAACTGGGATGAAATGAAGGGGGAAAGGCATCCTTGACAACTGTGGACTTGTGAACCCTGCCTAACCTCAGGGCCAGTGCCAGACTGGGCAGCGTGATGATGCTTCACAGCCAGTCATCACATCTTCATACAGCCTTGCATGGTGAGGGGCTCAGTGTTGCTGCACCATGAGCTCACCTTGATTTAAAAACTGAAGATCTGGCCTCCAGACATTGGTTTCAGAAAAAACAAAACAAAAAACACAAACACTTAAAACTGCTAAATGCGTAAAATAGCAGTTGTAATTCCTGCTTTTACTCACATCCATGCATCTTGTGCTTTGGGGTGTCTGCTCTACCATGCCTTTCTGCCTGCAGAACTCTATGCCACCTTTTAATCCCTCCAGAATGTGTGTGCATCATGCTCCAGACCAAGTCAAGCCTTCCTTCACACTACACCACATTCACTCTAACGGGGAAGCTGCTCCCACCAACTGGAGATGTCAGCTCACTCATGTTAATAACAATAATCACCCCAGAGAGACCTGCCTTGCCATTTGCCCATTCAAACCAACTGGGTTTTAATAACAAGCTATTTTCCTTCTTATTGCTATCATGCAATTAAAACCCACCAGACACCTCGTATCTGATAACCCTGACCATCCACAGCATTGATACAGCCACACTTGCCTTTATCACTACCCTTCAACTCATCTCCCAGCCTTCCGTCCCCTCCTCTTAGCTTGTCTATTACACAAGGAGCCTTTTCACTTTCCCTTCAATCTGCCTGCATGATAATTGCCCCATGTTTGAAAGGTCCTACTCTTGTCTGTCCAACTCCATGAGCCATTATTCTAATCGGGAGATGTGAAATTGCCTATAATTTTCTCTGATGCCCCGTCACTTGGTTCAGCAATACTCGCCTCTTCTTTGCCTGCATGTTTAACAAGGCACATAATCATCGGGAATGAGGAAAAGGGGCACGAGGGTGTACATATATATAAAGAAGGAGATGTTAATACAACACAATGCCTGTCGTTATGTGAGAAAATCAGCTGAGGAGTGAAAACACAAGGCTCTGATGTGGCTTTGTTCTTCAGACAAACACTGCTGCAGGCTTTCGACCTCTCGAACAAGGCTCTTCGACTAAGGTAAGACAGTATGACTGTGTACTAGTGATACAGTGGTGATAGCAGTGTGAATGTTGTTAGTATGACCTAGTATGGCTCTGGTGTATTGCTATCTTAGAATAACAGCTTTTACCAACACCTCAGTGAGAAAAGCATGTAATGAAATGGTAATATAGTGCATGCTTTATGCTAAGAGTTTCCCCTAAAGCATGATGTGAAACCCATTAATTATGGCCTTTTAAAATGACATCACATATGAGGAGCTACAACTGTAACAGAAATAAGGTTTAGTATAGATGTAAAACCCCGTTATAACAGGAATACGAGCATAACTCCATGTATGGTGGGTCAGTTATTTTTCTAATCTGATATGACATCAGACAAATTGTAGCTAGTGTCTGCCAGAAAGTGAAAACAGCAGGGTAATGAAGAGAATCAGCCCAGATTGCGGCCAAGTGTTTGCAGAGACAAATAAGTAATTATCTGTGTTTAAAGTGTGGAAGCGCCAGAATGTGCAAATCAGTACTTTGAATAGGGCCCAGTTTATTGGAGGAACAGTGCAGCTATTTGTCGTTTTATTATGACTGAGTCAGCTTGTCTGAACTCACAGGAGAAGGATGAAAGCGTCGTTAAAATACCGTGTGTGGAGAAGAATGCTGCCTCAGATACACACGAAAAACGTCCTCCATGTTATAACTTTGTTTTAGAGTATGATGAACCAATGCATCCTAGATTACTAATTACATTTGGAATCCGTTTCTTCTGTTTACTGGTTTTCAAATTAACTGAAAACGGAGCATTTGTGCGGTGCGTTATTCAACGTGCGTAAAGGCGCCACCTCGCATAACCTATAGGTGTCCATGCTGAGAACCGCTTTCCTTTAAATTTAAAGTAATTATAATACAACAATTTTTCAAATTTAAATGAGATAAGATGTAAGCAGCCAAGACAACCTCCTCCCCAAAGAATCTATTCGCATGCAGGTCTCTGACAAAAACACTTCAGCTAATTCATAGGCAGGGGTGTCGTCCATAGCAGCGGGGAAGCGCTGGCAGAAAAATGACAAACGATATCACAGCTATGAATTATGACACAAGCTGAGCTGTACACACTATCCATAGAACCGGAGGCTGTATGTATAGAGTGTTACATCAACTGACCAGGGACGTCTGTGCAAACCTTTGTTGATGGGGGTCTCACAGATGAGCCATAAATCTAAGAGCAGTCAGCGGCTCTTTCTCAGTTTCATGAATATAAATCCATCACTCATCTGACGTTTAAAACTGACAGTGGAAACATTTCACTGGCAAAACAGGTACCCAAACCAGCGCGTCACACAAGGAATGAATCACAATAACGTCAATCCAACCGCTATTTATTAGCATAATGCTCGTTGGATTATGTGTTGCTAACAAAGCAGACCCATGCACACAACAGCACATTTTTAAAGGGTCCTTTATCCAGTCTCTCTTGTTAAACTGCACACACTAAATCCACATTTCAGTGAGCTGAGGCCGTGCAACACGAGCTGCACTGACATAACAAATCTAAAAAAAAAAGATGGCTGATCGAAATTTGCAGTGAAACTTGAATTTCAAACGCACACAAAACATGGCGAATATGAACAAGGTCTATGACGTTTGAACAAAGTTCAGCTGTGAGAGGAGGCCTTGTTAAAAACCCAGTGAGGTCAGTGAAGTCTGAAGAGCACCTGGCCAAAAACGCTCCACTCACATCATCTGAGGCCTGGACATCGCGTCCTGATGCTGATGGTGGTTTGGATACCAATGACCAAAACTGTTCATGTAATTGTTTGGGTGCATTGGGGCTCCTTTGCTGGCCACGGAAACCTCCCAAAGCTGGGGCATCCCGGGCGAGCAGGGGGAGATGGCGCTGGTGCTGTGGAGATGTTCGCCCTCCGATCCGCTGCCATGCTTCATGATCTTTTTATACTTGGAGCGCTTATTCTGAAACCATATTTTCACCTATAAAAAGAGCAAAAGGGCGCACATTATTGTTAGAGTCGTTAACAATCAGCAGCAATGTAAGGTAAAGAATGCGGGGAGTTGTTTTTTATAAGCACCGTTCCTTTCAGACTGGCCCGAAGTGAGTACTGTGAACAATATTAAACAGACCTTCTCTCGTCTTTGCCCTGTTGACTTTGTGAATCCCAGGCCTATCACTGGTGCACTGTCCCCCATTCAGCCTAATGGTTGAGTGGCACTTCACTGAAACCGAACTCTCCTATTGTTCACTGATTTATGAGCGCAGTGGCGCATGCGAGTGACAGCAACAAGCCGAGATAAAAAGTTCTGCAGACTCAAAATACAGTGGCTTTTTTTTTTAAATACGAGAACAATGGTGTGAAAGTTCATTAATAAAAGCATCCTAAGCTGTCCGTTTAATCTATAAATATCTGGGCAGCAGCAGAGATAAATGTTGAGCTTTTAGAAAACTGTGCAGGAGGCGGCTCGGATGACACAGTGGATTCACTTGTTTATACCTTATTCTGAAACTCTAGACTAAGATATTAGTCATTTTGGTGATGAAACTAGGGAGAGACAAAGCATAAGGCGACATCTGAAGATCCCACTTTTGTTCCAGACAATGATAAGATGACAGCGACACGTGCACCTGTTTGTCTGCAAAGTAAAGTCCCATAGCGCCTGTTTCGGACATTTAATGTACACGGTGCGTGTGCGTGAGTGGGAGACAGAAGACACGGTGTAATAGGCCTAAACGTATGAGAGCTTTAAGAAAAGCAAAAGAAAAAAAAAAACCTAAAAATAAAACTGATGAGGACGTGGTTTAATTTCAAAAGATGTAATTTATAATAAACCAAAACACTTGAAAAAAGCTGACAACTCCTAATTGTACTCTTAATATTTTCTTCTTTCAGTCATTATCTAATTACACCTATGCCTCAATCACAAGGAGCACGTCAGAGACCAAAGCTGACAAAGGAAACAACCACAGATTTAAACACAGTAAATAAGGCATGCATTAAAGTATCGACTTACAAATCACAACTATTTGATTTTTCATTTGATCTCCAAGCGCAGGTAATCCTAAGTAATGCAGCGAATACGAGGTTCCCTTTTCAACGTCAACAAGGCCCCGGAATAGTTTTCTTCAGGCTGCTTTAAGTTCGATTAAATCAAGACATTTGAATACAAACTATTAGTTTAGAGAGCGTTTCCATATGCAGTGTGATTACTGCAGGCCCGAAATGTTAGCCTCAGATAACTTCACTGTTATTAGGGCATATAAGCTCCATTCATCTGCCTATACTTTCCTTGTATTTATCTAGGACTGCAGGGAGAGAAGAAGGCTCACCTGAGTTTGAGTGAGCCCCAGTTTGGCCGCCAGGTCGGCGCGCTCCGGTAAGGCCAGGTACTGGGTCTGCTGGAAGCGCTGGTGCAGAGCCTGCAGCTGCAGACTGGAGTAGATGGTCCGAGGCTTCCGGATTTTCTTCCCCTTGCCATTTATGCGAATGTCCCTGTTCTCAGTAGTAGTGGACTTATCTCGATCTTGCAGTTTGAACAGAAAACAGAAGGGGGAATGAGACGGAGAGGAGTTTAGATTTATGGCTTTTCGACACCCCCTAAAGCCTCCCAAGTGGGTTTTTAGCAAGTCAGGTCAAGCAGAGTGAGAACACTTATCACTGGTTCAGTATGTGCCTGGACAATGTAAACCATGCTCCAAACACAGAAGCAACAGGCCCTCAAGGCCCAAAACTAAGTTAAGCGTTTACGTTTCGACTCCACTGGCTATGATGTTAAAACATGATGAGAACCCCTGGCCTTAAATGAATATAGTTTTATACTGAATGGATTTAAAATGAGTCCGAATGTTTTATTGACAGGAAGCTAATTCGCACTGCAAAATCTAAAAATAATCGTTTTTAAAAGGAGGCTCAGAATTCAGAATATAGAAATGGAAGAAGTCATTTTTTCTGAAGCTGTCTGTTATTATGCACCAACAGTGAGGGCTAAAAGGAATTCTTGAGGTAGGCCCAGGCTACGCGCCCAACAACTGGGCTTATCCGCACAAAATTATGGTCAATAAAAATAATAATGGCACCGTGTGCCTGGCAATGACGGGCCTCGTTTGGACACACGGTACCTGCTGACGCGCATGCCTTAATTCAACTTTCAATACAAGACAATGACTTAGTTGTTACCTTACTGGGCCTTCGGGTGATTCTTTTTCGTCACAGGCAAACTGCGCACAATGTGCAGAACTGCCCTCAAGCATGAAGGCAAACCAGACTAATACCAACAGTGAAGTTTGATCAGTTTCCCACATACCTGGGTGCTCTAATCTGCTGTGGGCCAGACTGCTGCTGTTGCTGTGCTGGAAGTACGCAGATGGGGGATGAGTGTTCACCGCTCCGGGGTAGGCGTAGCCCAAAGAGCGACCATAGGACGCGCTGCCGGGAAAAGGACTTTCGTGCTGGGAATGTCCAGCAGCGTGGAAGCCGTGAACGGGGTAAATGTGAGAGAGTCCGGGGGAGTGCTGCTGGTGTGCCGGGTGTCCGTGGCCAAACTCTAGAAAGGCCGATTTGGAGGGATCTGACGCATTCAGGCTGTCAGGCATGAAACCCATAGACATCATTAGCTAATACGCGAGTCCATAAAGCCGTCGCTCTGAAGAAGGTTTCATGAGTTCTGTCAGGCAGCGAGGAAATCTTAGAACAAATTCACACTTAAGTCCAACGGATTGTTTGTGAAAACGCTGTCCCAGCCGTGAGAAGTCACAGTTCGCATGATCTCAGCTGTTTAGAAGGTAAAAATCGGATAAAAGCGCTTCTTTTGCATCACTGGGGGAGCCAACATGCTCCTTCACACACCTCCTTCCTGCAGAGCCTCAAACAAACTGCCTTCCATCTGCGAGCTCTCTCATTGGTCTTCAGCTGCCGACTGTCACTGGAGCTCCACCATTAACTTCATTAACATAAGATACAGGATGCAGCTCTGCAGCCAGGAGGAACCTCCTTCCACGGATCATGAAATAAATATCGTTGTGATCTCGTTCTTATCTTGGAATGTAAGAAAGACATCTACAGCATCAAATATAATTTAATTAAAGCCAGTACTGTGTGTTACTGCATTGTTCTAAAACAGACCTGCTTTTTGGAAATTTTACTTATGGAAGACGTCGGAAAATAATTGTAATAGTGATGCTTTCCAAAATAAAAGTAACATCTGTGTTTGTGAAATTTTATCTGATTTAGAAAAAACAGGTTCGATGATACGGCTACGGGAAAAGGGAAACTGATAAGTAATCAAATAAAATCTTGTTCACCAAATCTAATCTGCTGTTAAACTAAACATATTTAGCATTGTTTGATTTATAAGGTTCATGCGCTTAATTCTCTACAAAATAAAGGCGCATTTTCGTTATTTTAATAACGTTTTAATAGTGAAAGAATTCACCAATATTTAAAAGTTTATTAGAAATGTTGCATAAACTATTTTCTACTAAAAAAACGGACCACAAATAATAAGAACACCTTTAATTCTGCAACATTCACGTTCTTTTCTTTAAATTGTCGAACAGAACATGAGCTAAAGCTTTAAAAATGACTTGTAGAGACAGAAGGTTTAGTGCCAATACGTCCGTGCACCATTAAACATGCTGGCACAGGCTTGTTTCATGAAGCATCCCCTCAAAGTTTACTGTTCAGCTTAACTGATGTGCAGATGTCCTTTAAAAAATTAGTCAATAGATACTCAATGACCCAATTTGTAAAAAAGCAGTTGGTGTAACTGCTTTAGTAGATGTGCAGTGGGTTTACATCATGTGTGATTTCTCTAAATGAATTAAAATAAATATTTGGAAGACAAAAAGAGACAAACTCATTTCTTGATCCTCTGCCTATAGTCAGTAAATGTCAGAGTTTATAACATAAGGGAAACACAAACCTGCAAAACAGGGTGGGATGGTGGTGCAGACTGCAGCAAAAGTCATAAGGTGCATGTGGACATAGTGTGGGAGTGGTGTGAAAACTGTGTCCATGTTTCTCTCAAGCACAGTCTGTGCACAGGTGGAGAAAACTACTACTACTAAGACTACATTTGCAAGAAAATCCAACAGTCACCAGTTTCATTTGAGCTAAATCGCATGCAAGCTGGAGTCAGATTATAAACAGAGTATTTGGTGGGTTCGAGCGTGGCGCTGAGCTCTTGTCCAACTCAGTCATTTTGGTCTTGTCCTACCCTGCCTGCAACTACTGGGAATTCAGCAGCACTAAAGGCCTGCTGGGGGCTGGACCGCTTCCCGATTGCCCACAGGCCTCAGCCAAGCAGCCACCCACAAATTATCATCATAGTAAAAAGTCAGTCACAATAAAAAAAATAAAAAAAGCACTGCAGAGAGGCCAGCTTCATATTGTGTTATAATGACTTCACACTTTGGCCATTAGAAATTTACTGCTACATTACTGCTGTTGGTGGCAATAACTGTAGTTGGCAACAAGTGGTTGAGAGATTTCTGTTGCTTTAGGAGCAGGTGTTGCACAGTATTAGCAGAAAAACAACCTTTGTGACCATAGTTCACAGGAAAGTCAAACTTTGACAGATGAATGGGATCAGGGAGGCCAAATGAAGATAAACACAAAATGCAGGGCTTTGAAGACGCAGAGGCCTGCGGGCGTATATACAGTTCTCTTGTGAGGCACTTCAACAGCTGAATGCAAAGGATTGAGTCCTGGATGTGACTGTCAGAGCTAAGGTGTGGGCATAGGAGTTGTATGAGACCCAGAGAGGGAGAGAGAGACAGAGAGCGAGGTGAGGAGGCTCCTAAGTCTTGTAATTATGTCTGTATTACAGGTGAAGAACAAAGGTGAGCCCTGCAGTCATAGGGCAGGGATGGGTCCTTGCTGTGGCTCTCTTAATACACGCAAAGAGGTGATGTTCAAAACAGTCATCCTCGTGAATGCAGCCCAGACTCACTGGCGTCACCCATGCTGCACTGTGTGCATGGGTTTGCAGAGGCGTGTTTGACATAGGTGTGTTTTGTCTTTCTCCCACACACGCACACCGGTTCAGTTTGTCCATCATGCGGCTCTGATGCCGAGTGACAGCATTCTTTGTGTACAAACCAAGAGCACATTCCCAGGCAACGGCCTCGGCTGTGATCTTCCCCACTGGCACGTCATGTTTTACAAGTAACCCTCTGTTGCTGGGGCTGAGCTGAGGCCCAGAGTTAGACCGACAGTCCGGGACCCCTCCAGGATGCCAGGATTTATTATCATAGGCTCAGTTCACTACATAATAGACACAAATAAAGACCCACATGTCCAATTTCTGCAGTACACTGTGTGTGTTAAGATGAAGCGTGGCTTGACAAAGTTATCCCACCAGAAATGCATCACAGACTATGGACAAGCTGGGAGAAACATGAAAATATAAATGAAAAGCAGACATATTCATTATAGTTTCAGTGACGTATACTGACTTTTTAATATGGGTTTTGGATATTAATATATGAACCCAATGCTTCACTGCTGTTATGTTAAAAATAAGCAGGTGTCTGTCACTGAAACGCCTTCCACTCGACAAGGCAACTGTTTTCCAGCCGATTTGCATCAACAAAGCCAATGCACACACTGAGATTCACATTTTTCTATGACTGTTTTCTGCCTCAGGAAAGAGAAGGAGCCAGAGAAGCAGAGAAGATGAATGGTCTAATCTCTCCTCCAGGCACCACAGCGCACAGAAGCACTAATATCTGCACGGCCAGCCTTTCATTCCTCTAGTGCAGCCATGTTGTTGACGATGTGTAAGGACTCCTGAGTGTAATGGTGTACCCTGATCAACATCATGGTACAGACAGACGTAATGTTTAAATACTGGCCAATGTGAATATTTTATAGTATTGTGTGATTTTTACTTTACTTATGTAAGTTATATTATTTATTTCTATATTTGGACTATGCACCTGTAATATAATCGACTTGGTTGCTGTGTTTTATAGAATTGTTTAGTTAACATTATTAACACAAGTATTAACTATAATGGCAATACTATTGATGGTGACTGGCAGCTTTGAGGTGAACTGTTTATATCATGTCACAATTGTGACCTACCTTCAGTGAGGCCCTACAAACAGAAGGCTCATATTCTTTTCTGTTTGAATTCCAATTTAAATTAAGATGTAATTATCCCAGTTTCTAAAAGTTTAACTAAGGTTTTCCTGTTAATATTAATCTAAGCTGATTGTATACAGCTTCATTTTTGTAAAAATATAAACTCTGTTGAAACATTTCATATTTGCATTTGTTTTGATTCCTTTAAACTCTTTTTCAATATTTATCTCCTTTTTAAAGCTGCAATATGATGAATGCAAATACAATAGTTTTGTGAGTGAAACGTTTGCATGCATCATTCATGCCCAGTAATGTTGAAAAGAATATTCCCTGAAATTATTTTAATTCTGAAAAGAAACCTGCACCTGTCCCCGTTCCCATTTATCCACACAAGGAAATTTAAAGCAGGAACACATTTTCATACTTCATCAAAAGGAGATTGCATTTTTGCTCAGTGACACTTATTAGTTCTACTTGTATAATTTATGTTGATGGTAAAAAGGCCTTTTATGCATGGTCAGTTATGTCCCAGCATATTCACCATTTACTCGCACGCCAATTATAACCGGAACTCAAATTGTAGGTTCAAAACCAAAATAAAATGGACCTAATTAATCAGCCACTTGTCACCAATTTGGAACAGATAATGCGAACAGAAGAGAAAACGACACTGTGCACCTGTAGGCTACGAAAACAACAAAAAGCAAATGACTAAAACGTTACAATTCGTTCCTGCGCAGGAAACGCGAACTATCATTTGGCTCAAGCTCTGAATTCACCACTGGAGCCATTGTGGCCATGCGGACACCAGCGACGCTGACAGTCACACTTCAACTTTTAATAGATTGGTAGAACATAGAGGCCTTGGCGATTCGGGAGGCAAAACTACCGTCTGGAATCCGTTAACCGTAATACGCATATAAGCCTTTCTGGTGCAACCTGAGCTCGGTGTCACACGGGGCATCTGATTTAAGCGGCCTCATTTGTAGAGAATGTCGGTCATATGCCTAAATTACAGCTACACTGCTCTTTTTTTTTCTAACCTTGTTGGCTGCGGCTCAAACGCGCATTTGGCACCAATCCTGAATGTGGGCGCTGGTGCGCACACACCTACGCACACAGAGAACATCTCACAGTAACCTGTCTCTATGAATCCAGTGACAGCCCAGCTGATGGACAGTAGTGGCAGTGTATTGAGTTACAGCCCAGTGCTTAGGGCTGCAGTAAAAGTGTGCGCCTGCTCCACATCTGGAACCAAGAAGCCAGTCTGGTTCTACCCTGGGTGTTTACAACTCTGTTGTTTTCACACACCTAAAAAAATCTTGCCCAAACACACATTCCAGACTCACCAGATCAACATGAGGGGATGTTTCCACTGTAAATCTTTGCCCCCAGAAGGTGAGTAGAAACACAAAAGCTGGGATCAGTGGGGCAACAAGAGGGTGACAGCAGATTCAAGAGGGGCTGAAAGAGACAGCTGTGTGTGTGAGAATCTTTCCAGGCCTGGTGACTGAGATGGCATAGGGAATTCAACTAGGTTAGAAACAGCTGGGGGAGTGGCATCACATTCTGCCAGGGCTACTGGCTTTGTTAACTGTGTGTTTACTGTACAAACATCTGAGGAGGTATCTGATGTTGCATTCCAGCAGTATTTCAGAGGCCATCTGTGAAGGCACAAATCTCCTAAAAACACTAAAAACTAAAAAAGACCCACATAAATGTATTAGTTTAAGAAGCTCCAGAGGTCTAGACAAAAGATAATAATTGAATAGCTGTCATAATTTTTACTTTTTCTCTCAGATGAGTTGACAGACATAGAAATACTGAACATACCAGACAATGATTTGCCTACGGAATCACACACGCACACCCAATCAACATACAA